AAGGCACTGACTGGGCTCAACCCCAACACCACAAAATAAATAAATAAATGAATCTCACTGAAAGCACAAGTCTCAAAGTCCCAAAGTTAAGCAAAATGTCTAATATCCTGTAAGATCCTTTATTTCTGGAAGAAAGAAAATAAGTCATGCAGAACTTGTAAGATAAAGGATTTGGCAACATATATAGTAAATTTCAGTAAACAGATCAAAGAACAGGTTTTTGTACTAGTGGGTGGATTTATTTACTGTTAAATATTTCTGCACAAAATCTATGTACACTATAAGTGCAATTATATTTGAACCGTGCATGTGGGAGGTAGCAAGCAAAATGAAGGAGTTTTTTTTTTTTTAGATTTATATTTGCATGGGTTTTTAAAAATCGTGATTTTTTATTATGGCACTATTATTTTTTTCTAAAATGAATTGTTATGCTTTGGATCTTAAACGTCCTCATGCTTAAAATGACCATGCTTGCTTGCCTATTGAGAGATTGTAGAACCTTTAGAGATGGGGCCTATTTGAAGGAAATTAAGTTACTGAGGTTTACTGGGACCCCAGTATCTTCTTTCTCTCTTTACTACCTAGCTGCTATAAGGTAGGTAACTTGCTATGTTGTTCTTCCTCTCTTTACTACCTAGCTGCTATAAGGTATGTTCCTTGCTATGTTGTTCTTCCTCACTACAGGACCAAAAGCAGCAGAGCCAATCACCCATGGACCAAAACCTCTGAAACCATGAGCCAAGGTCAGTCTTATAAGTTGTCAGATAGTTTGTCATAGTGATAGAAAACTAACACATGAATGAAAGGAAAAACTTTATTTCACGTGATAGGGAAAGAAAGGAACTCAAGTTTCTGTAGTTTCTGCTCAACAGGTGTACATTTTTTTTTGCAGATGAGAAATCCCCAGAGCAGATGGGCCATAAACATCCTCAGGTCACCTGATGAATCAGCAAGGGAAGAACAATAACAGGTCCCTCATTATCTTGTGTAATTCTTTTTTTTTTTTTTTGTAGTGGGGTACAGAGGATTGAACCCAGGGGTGCTTAACTACTGAACTGCATCCCCAGCCCTTTTTTAACATTTTTTATTTGGAAACAGGTCTTGCTAAGTTGCTTTGGGCCTCCCTAAGTTACTGAAGCTGGCCTTGAACTTGCAATCCTCCTGCCTCAGCTTCCCAAACTGCTGGGATTACAGGCTTGGACCCCCACACCTGGCTCTTGTATAATTCTTTTCCCACTGTTCCTTACTGTTGTAAAATAAGCATTCCTAGTAACTCTAAAATCTGTTCCTTACCTTGCTCCCTAACAGCTTCCTCACAGAAGTGTCAGAGTTGGCCATCCAAGGGCCACAGCATTATCTACTAATTTTCCTGTTGGACTTTACAGGAAACTTGATTCTGTGGGTTTGCTTCTCCAGGCAGCTGCCTAAGCCCCATCTGAACTAGCTGGGGAAAGACATTAAGGGGACAGCGAGTGACCTTAATATTATCAGCTAAGTCTTTGATATTGAATTACAGACAGTCCCTTATTTATGATTTTCAACTTTAGAATGGTGGGACAGTCATGTGCCCATTCAGTAGAAATCATATTTGAAATTTTGAATTTGATCTTTTTTGATGCTCTGTGCAGGTGCTGGGCAGAGGCAGAGAGCTAAAGCTACGTGATTGCCAGGGGAAGCGACCCATGTTCCACAGCACACTGTCGCTGAACAGCGATGCTTGGGGGCTCAGAGAGGCTAGGTTATTATGGGCAGTTTTTACATAAACCTTTTCCAAGTTAACGATAGGTTTACAGGAACATGGCCTCATTGCCAGTTGAAGAGCATCTGTATCGATGCCTCTGCCCACCCCCTATCCTGCCCACCAAATCCTTCTAGAGACCAGAGGTGGCCTGGATGAAGGAAGAGAAGGCGTAAATGGAAAGTGGACAGGCGACAGTGGACCCACACTGGCCTCTTGGTGTTGGCAAGAGCAGCCTTAGCCCGGTGCTCGTGGAGGAAGGGCTCTCTTAAGATCAGTTTCTACTTAATAAGCACTTATTAAATGCTTTAGGTGACCACTGTTCATTGCTGGGCAATCTTAAATGAGCTTACTACAATAATTAATTGGGAGAGAAAGAACAATATCGAGATGTGTCTTTTTTTTTTTTTTTTGTATCAGGGATTGAAACCAGGGTACTTAAACACTGTGCCACACCACCAGTTCTCCCCTTTTTAAAAATATTTTATTTTTATTTTATAGGTGGGCACAATATCTTTATTTTATTTTTATGTGGTGCTGAGGATTGAATCTAGTGCCTCATGCGTGCTATGTCATCTACCACTGAGCCACTGCTGTTTTAATATATATATTAAAATATGTATTTTATTTAGAAACAGAGTCTCACTGAGTTGCTCAGAGCCTCGCTAAATTGCTGAGGCTGGCTCTGAACTTGTGATTCTCCTGCCTCAGGCTCCCCAGTTGCTGGGATTACAGGCATGTGCCACCATGCCCAGCCCAGCCCTATTTTGATTTCTAATTTGAATTACAGGGTCTGTACTGCTCTGCTGTATGTCCTTTTGAAATGAAAATCACTCTGAGAGAAAATAATAAACATTGCCATGGCTCTTGCAGAATTTAGAAAACTCAGACCACCTCCTCTGAGCCCCTCTAACACCTCAGGCACAGTCTCCCCACTCAATGAGAGGATATTGACAAGAGGCACAGGGCTTTCAGATTCAAACGAATTTCAAGATCCCTTTCCATGCTCCAAGATAAAAACTATTCTTAGAATTGCAGATGAGCAAAATCTCCCTCTTTTCAACTTTAAAAAGCTGTTTAGGGCAAATCCTTTTTAAAATTTTTTTTTCTATAGTGAAATTATTATTTCTTATCCTTTCTCATTATTTGTTTTATTTTGGAACCAGCTACTTCTTAGTTACCGTGACATCCACTTATGTTTGAAAGAATATAATCTAACATCAGCCAGGAGTGATGTTATTTGAAAGGATGGTCATTTACTTGCATTAAAACAAGACATAGTTTTAAATGTCATGTTCAAAATGGGCATAAACATCTTTAAGGAACCTGTCCATTATGACATCCGCATTTCCTTTTAAAATAAGTCGATTTAAAAACTCATTCTCCTTTTCCACACCATTTCTCAATGCTGCTTTTGAACAAAAGATTCTCAGAAGGATGTAGAGAAGAAACATATTTTTGATTTAGACAAGATGTTCATGAAAGAGCTACTAGTATAAAGTAAAGGTGACATAGTCTAGCAAGACCTAGATCAAGTCTTTCCAATCCTGAATTTCCTCTCCCATAAAATGAAAGATAATAAGAGTTCTCACCTCCTGGAGTTATTATGCAGTGTCAATTGATGGCAGATATTATTATGAGAGTGCCACACTTGAAGTAGATGCTGATGTGTTTTGGGAGTTAATACCCCAACTGGGACCCTAGAGATAATCCAAACCTGTAGGGTCATGAGATTCAGTGTCAAATTCGCATTCAGTGTTCTAGCTTATAAAACATGAAAGAAAGTTCAAAGTTTGGTGGGAAAAAAATAAATCTTACAGAAAGTCTTTTTTTAAAAGAACACTCACTTAGTCATTCAGCAAATATTTATTGAAACCTAGTATGTACCAAGTATTGTCCTGCGTACTGGGATTGAGATAAACAGTGTTGATCTCCTTGAACTTAGAACCAGCAGAGGAGATCATGACTAATCAAATAGCCACAGATAAATAATACAACCTGGAATAAAAACTCTGACTTTTTCTTTATCTTAGAGAATAAAACAGATGTCAAAAAAGATTACAAAAATGTAATTTTGTCATTTCTCAATCTCAACCCATCTTGTAATGGATCGTTCTGACGTTAGTACTTGGAGTCACTTGTGTGTGGCATTAAGATAAACTGTACCAAAGACATCCTGAATTTTCAAAGTTGGATTGAAACTTGGAATCCTTAAAACAGCAATCTGATGAGGCTCTGAAGCTACACTTCCCGTGAGGGCACGCACTCATTTCAAGGGCTGGAATCCCTGCACGGGAAGCCTGGGGTGGAGTTTGGGGCTGGAGGCCTAATGACAACATCAAAGGACAAAGGCAGCTGTCCTTAGCCAGGGAAGTCTAGGTCAGAGTCATGACAAAAGGAGGGACTAGAGGACTAGGTCAGGGCACCCAGAAAGCAATTTTCCAAGGGAGCCACAAGTTGTCATTTGTAGACAAAGAATGTATCCAGAAGGCTTTGTCCTGCATCCTCACCACAAGGCTGTAATTTCCAAACTGTAGGTCATGACCCATTTGTGGGTCACAAAACAAATTGTGTGAGTACTTGCAGCATTTTTTTTAATGAAATAGAAAAGGTTCAAGTAGAATATGTAAGTTTGGAGAAAGGGTGAGGTGGTCTGCATTTGGGTAGAGGCACTAAGTGGCCCTGTGACACCCAGATCAGTTCAGTGGAAGGAATTCCCCCAGGGACATCCAATACCCTACTTTTCTCTCAGTATGGTCCTTCTAAATCTAAGACCTGCTCCCCAGCAGGCTGTGCAAGGACGGGGCCAAAATGCAGAACACCTGCCTAAGGTGAAGCTCCGGGATCAGTCTGGAATGTCCCCCAAAAGTTCATGTGTTAAAGGCCTATTCCCCATCCAAGGCACTGTGGGGAGGTGGTAGAATCTTTAAGAGGTGGGGCCTAGTAGGGGGAAATTAAGTCGTTGGGGGCATAGCCCTGGAAGGAATATCAGCCCCTTCCTTTGAATATCTCTTTGCATCCTGACCACCATGAAATGAGCAGCTCTGTTCCACCACCTGCTCTCCACCATGATATTCTGCCTTACCACAGGCCCAAAAGCAAGAACCAGCTGACCATGGACTGAAACCAGGAAGCAAAACAAACCTTTCCTCCTTTTAACTTTTCATCTCAGGTATTTTGTCACAGTAACAGAAAGCTGACCAGCACAGATAAAGCTACAAAGTCATAAATAACATATGTGTAGAGGTAGCTTCCTTCTCACCTTAGCATCCTCAGACTGGGACTGCTTTCCAAACACCATAAATGTCTTCAGTTTTACATTCTCACTTGATAAATACTTCTTTTACTCTGATTGGAAAAAAAAAAAAAGCCAATTTATCTAAAACTTTTCTCAGAGGGTTAATCATTATATTTGCAGATGTAATTTCTAGCTTCAGATCTTTCCACCTTGTTTCTGGATGGTAGAATTCTCGAGGAAAGGGAAATGGATAACTGGTCTTTTTGGGATTCCAAAGAAGACTCCTTGATGATTAAAGAGGAGTGCTGGAGTTCAGATCTGAGATGTTCCCCAAAGCTCATGTGTTAAAGGCCTGGTCACCAGCCTGTGGCACTATGGGGAGGTGGGGGACATTTAGGTGGTGGGACTAGATGACGGAGTTAGGTTACCGGGGTGTGCCCTTTCACTACTTAATGGATGCACGAGGTGAATGGCCTTCCTACATGCTCCCTCCATGATGTACTCTCCCACTTCAGGCCCAAAGCAACATCACCAAGCAACCATGGGTTAAAAACTCCAAAACTTTGAATAAAAATAAAATTTTCTCTATTTTTGAGTTGATTGTCTCAGGTATTTTGTCGTGGTGACAGAAAACTGACTAACACAGGGAGGAAAAGTCAAGAAGTGCTTTGCACATTGATAAATGGTGTGGTCACTTTCCTTTGAAGGCAACAGTTGGTGGAGAGGGCAGTGAGAAGAGACTCTTCCTGGGGAAGCAGAGAGAGAAGCTGTGGGAAGGAAGAGCTACTGCAGTCCTGAATGGTGCCGGCTCTCACCCTGGCAGGAGTGGTTATCTGCAGAGGCAGACAGATTCTCAATCCAGGGACGCTCGGATGCGGCATCCACTGTGAAGACGGATACAGAATTCTAGAATAACTGCTTATTTCTTTGAATTGACCCACCCTGGACCCACTATTTCAGCCTAAGTCTCTGACCTACCCTTTAAGAATTAAAGTTCTTCCAAAAGTTTTTTTGGTCAAGCCCAGTGGCCTCTTCTTTTCCTATAGAGATGGGGGCAGGGTGGGGGGATGTTTCTTTAAAACTCTTACATAAAACTTGTGTTACGGAAAATGCAAGTATAGCTGGGTGAGGTGGCGCTCACCTGTCATCCCAGTGGCTCAGAAGGCTGAGACAGGAGGATCGCGAGTTCCAAGCCAGCCTCAGCAATGGTGAGGTGCTAGGCAACTCAGTGACACCCTGTTTCTAATAAAGCACAAAATAGGGCTGGGGATGTGGCTCAGTGGTTGAGTGCCCCTGAGTTCAATCCCCAGGAACAAAAATAAAAAAGAAAGAAAGAAAGGGAAGGAATAAAGAAAGAAAATGCCAGTGCTTATAAATTAGACTCAACTGGGTAGCCATTTTTTTTTAAATGCTCATCACTGGGGCTGAGGTTGTGGCTCTTGGTAGAGCGCTTGCTTCACAGGTGTGAGCACTGGGTTCGATTCTCAGCACCGCATATAAATAAATGAATAAAATAAAGTCCATCAACAACTAAAACAAATATTTCAAAAAATTGCTCATCATTGACTACTGTGAGCCCTTGGGTTAGAGAATAAGTTAGGACCCTCCAAGGATTGCCGTTTCTTAACCTGGAAATAGAGGAAATGATATATCATTTGTTGGATTGTTGTGAGGATTATATAGTATAAAATTTATAAAGTGCAAAGCCATTGCTGGACACCCAGTTAATAAATTAATACGTATACTGTTGTCACTTTTGTGTCACCATTCCAACAAGCAGCTACAGGACAACCAGAACAGAATTTGCAACTTTTTAAAACACCAGCGTTGCCGGGCGCAGTGGTGCACGCCTGTAATCCCAGGGGCTTGGGAGGCTGAGGCAGGAGCATCACCAGTTTGAAGCCAGCCTCAGCAAAAGCGAGGCGCTAAGCAACTCAGTGAGACCCTGTCTCTAAATAAAGCACAAAATAGGGCTGGGGATGTGGCTCAGTGGCCAAGTGCTCCAGAGGTCAATCCCTAGTACCCCCCCTCCAAAAAAATCCCACCGGTGTTAGTCATAATACAAATATTTTGGAACATACAGAATTTATAATTCAAAATGAGGTTTTTAAAATCTTTTTAGTTGCTTAGACAAGTGTGTGAAAATTCTGTGTCAAAATCAAAAGACATACTTCAAACCCTGCTTTAATTCCTGAGTGATTATGGAGTCTAGGACGTATGCAAGCATTTTCCTTTTCCTCCTTTCCTCTTCTGCTGTTTAGCCCTCATCTGCTTTATTTAATTTTGGCTTCTCTACTGAGGTTAATGTGAGCGAAGTTTGGAAGAAAGGCTTAAAATATTATAAACATTTTAGATTTAGAGCTAGAACATTCCTTAGGGATTATCAGTCTAATGTTTTCTTTCTTTTCCTTTTTTCCAGTGCTGTGGATTGAACCTAGGACTTTGGCCTGTTAGGCAAGTGCTCTACCCCTGAGCTGCATCTCTAGCCTTCGTCTGATATTTCCTAAGTGTTATTCATTAAAACAATAACATCACTGTTTTGTTACATGCTTCTGTCATTTACTTGATTAAGAAAAAAAAAGCGGATTTGATTTAAAAAAAAAAACAACAACTAAATACCCAATTTTCTAAGCAGTGATAGTCTGTAGTATTCAGAAACATCACAGGTTTAATAGACTCAGTAAATATAGAACTTAATCATCACATACATGTAAAATAAAGATATTGTGTCCACCTAAAACTAAAAAATAGATATTAAAAAAAAACAATAACAAAAGACTTGATGTATTAAAGAGTTTTGTAATTTAAAGCCATCTATGTGGGCTGGGGCTACAGTCAGTGATACAATGTGTGCTTAGCATGCACAACTACCCATGAACCACCAAAAGTCATTTCATATACTACCAATGGCCTGGGTGACACACTTAGATAAACTCTAATTACATGTACCCTCATTTTTAATTTTTTTTTGTATTGAGGATTAAACTCAGAGGAACTCAATCACTGAGCCACATCCCTAACCACCCCCGCCCCCCATTTTTTTTTTTTTTTTTTGAGAAAGGGTCTTATTTAGTTGCTTAGCACCTCGCCATTGCTGAGGCTGGCTTTGAACTCACCATCCTCCTGTCTCAGCCTCCTGAACTGCTGGGATTATAGGTGTGCTCCATGCCTTCCAATGTACCCTCATATTGTTTTGTGAGGACACTAAAACCCAGGAAATTCAAGTCATTTGCCCTGAGTCTCTCTATGATTGAAACTCTAGTAAAAGACTTGATGGGGGCTGGGATTGTGCTTGCCTACCATGCATGAGGCACTGGGTTTGATCCTCAGCACCACATAAATGTAAAATAAAGATATTGTGCCCACCTAAAACTAAAAAAAATAAATATTAAAAAAAAGCAATAACAAAAGACTTGATATATTAAAGAGTTTTGTAATTTAAAGCCATCTATGTGGGCTGAGGATATAGTTCAGTGATACAATGTGTGCTTAGCATGCATAGACCCTAGGTCTAACCCTAAGAGCAAAAAAAAAAAAAAAAAAAAAATAGTAATGAGGAGCTGGGGGTGTGGCTCAGTGGTAGAGCACTTGCCTGGCAAGTGGGAGGCACTGGGTTTAATTCTCAGCACCACATATAAATAAATAAAATAAAGATCCATCAACCACTAAAAATTTTTTAAAAATAGTAACAAAAGAGAGAGGGAAAGTGAGAGAAATAAAAAGAAAAAAAAAACTAGGTATTTTAAGTATACCAACTTTTCATTTTCAGGTTTCCAAGTTTCCAGTATATGCCCCAAGATTCAAGAGAGTAGGCCAAATAAGAATTGGCCTTAGTGAAAGAGAAAACTACTTGCATGTAGTCCCTTCCAAAAATATATTGAGATGGGTCTAAGGACAAAGAACTAGCTTTGGCAATTTGTTTATCTCATGAAACAACTTGAATAATCACATGAGCTCATCCAAGAGTTGAAAGGCATTTACCTTGTGGCTTAGGTGTTTTAGGAGCGTGATCATACTGACCTGATTAAGGTCAGCAACACTGGCCTCTTCCTGACCCCGAATGCCTTGTGCATTGAAACCCGAGTGTTAGTTCCTGTTTGCACCATTGTACCTTGTTAGAGAAGGTATTTCTATTCTCTGGGGACTGAACAATAAGCTACTGTATGTTTGGTCTCTAGAGTTCATTTCTTCATGTTTTCATTAGTTTTATTCATAAGATTCTATTAGAGTCAATTGTTAAATAGCTGGAAACAACCCCAACAAAGGACAAAAAGTTTCTTCAATAAAACAAGAACGGCCCATCCCCTGCCCAGGCTTGAAGGACCATAAATTAGTGTAATAAATTGCAGAATATAAGCAAGTAACTTTTCTTCTTACTCTCCTAGGGACCTGGGGTTTGTTAATTCCATGTCTAAAACTAGGTCAGTAACATAGTAAAACAAAACAAAACGAAACCCTACTAAATATGAGTTGAAGTTCACTGTTTTGAAAAATTATAGCCCATCTAGTTAAATTATCATTATCATTCAATGTGTTCATTTTGATGGATTCAGTTTATCTTGCATTACCTGGAATAATTTTTGTTAAAATTGTTAATAATAAATATCTCCTTTGAGACTTGCCTAGTGAAAAAAATTCTCTTTCCACTTGTGGAGTTTATGGTTAAAACATTCTTCAGTTTGTCATTGGACACAATTTCATTGTGGAACCACATTTCCTTAGTGCTTAGAAAATCCTAGAATCCCTTTCCATGTATTTCAAAGAAAGCATTCAAATATAAATCTGTTTTAATTCATTATTACAAAAAGCTCATTAGCCCAAAAGTGCAAAATTTTAGAATATGTCCGGTCATATAATTTGTAGCCAAGAACACAAAAGCACATACACCACTTCATATTTACTAAGAATTAAGTATTTGGCACGGGGTAGTTACTAACAAAGACCAGAGCACATACAGTTCTCCAACCACACGAGGAATTTGGCCATATACATTGGAGCAAGCCCCAATCTTTTTGAATTTTACAACTTTTAAATAAGCAACACAAAGGAAAGCATGATAGGTTGAAGGAAAAGGGCATTTTGGGGTAATTAGAATGTATTGAAAACACATGCCAGTACTTTCTTTGGTACTGACAAATGGGATCAAACCATATTCTGAGTTTTTGCCTTGTTTCTTAATCCTACTTTCTAACAGTCTGAAAATGCATAGGTAAGGAGGAGGTAGGGAAGGGAATCTTGTTAAAGATATCTGTTTTACAGCACAATGGGTGGTTATCTTGTTTTGAATTAAATGCTCCGTGAAAGACAGCTGTTCATTGATTCTGATTCTGTTTTTTGGTTGTTTTGTGTATACACACACACACACACACACACACGCACACACCAGGGATTGAACCCAGGGGTGCTTAACAACTAAGCTATATACCCAGTCCATTTTTATTTTTTATTTTGAGACAGAATCTCACTGAGTTGCTTAGGGCATCGCTAAATTGCTGAGGCTGGCTTTGAACTCATGGTCCTCCTGCCTCAGCCTCCCAGCCACTGGGATTCCAAGTGTGTGTCTCTGGGCCCAGCTACTCATTGATTCTTTTTTAAAAAATTATTTACTTATTTTTAATTTATATATGACAGTGGAATACATTACAATTCTTGTTTCACATATAGAGCACAGTTTTTCATATCTCTGGTTGTATACACAGTATATTCACACCAATTTGTGTCTTCATACCTGTGCTTTGGATAATAATGATTATCACATTCCACCATCATTTCTAACCCCATGCCCCCTCCCTTCCCTTCCCACCCCTCTGCCCTATCTAGAGTTTGTCTATTCCTCCCAAGCTCCTACTCCCTATTCCAGTATGAATCAGCCTCCTTATATCAAAGAAAACATTTGGCATTTGTTTTTTTGGGATTGGCTAACTTCACTTAGCATTATCTTCCCTAACTCCATCCATTTACCTGCAAATGCCATGATTTTATTCTCTTTTATTGCTGAGTAATATTCCATTGTGTATATATGCCACATTTTTTTTTCATTGATTCTTATACACCTGCCCTCTCCCTGCCTTCTATAATGTTTGTCCACGGTGATTCTCCCAGAACTGCTAGAGTAGCTTTTGCTATTCTTTAAATTCTGTAAAACAAATGCCCAACCCTCCCTCCAAGGCATTGGAAGAACATTCCTCTAACAGTTGCAAGTCCCTCTATTACACATCAACGCCCGTTCATTCTGTAAATGTCAGGACAATTCTCCAACTACTCATTTGCTTTTCGCATTTCCTCTTGCAAACTCAGAAAGCAACTACCATTTCTTCTGTATCCTTAACACTAGATTGGAGTGTGTAAAACAATGAATGATATCAGGAAAGAACTTCTGTCCTCCTTTATGTCTGGAAGAACAGTTTTAGGAACTGTGGGACCCTCCAGGCAACACTGTCCCTGCCTGCGCTGCAGCCCCAGCCATGGCACCTGCAGAATGCAATTTTGCTGTGGATGAGTACACACCTACCAGGCCATGCCAGCCCTCAGAGCTTGTATTTAAAAACTAGACAGAAGGATGAGATCTCTGACTTACAACCAAGAGTCGTGTTCTGACAGTGCCTTTGTGAATTACACAATTTTAATTAAAGCAACATGAAGACACTGCAATGGAGTGAAGAAAAGGGAAATTTTTTGGCAATAGAATGTATTGAAAACACATGCCAAACACTTCCTCCAATGCTTGGAACCAAATACTTCTCTCAATATGGGATCAAACCTCTCTGCTTCTCCTTCTGTCCCTTGGGCTGGGCTGTTTCTCTCTGTTCCTTGGGCCCTCTTGGACCTCATGCTTACTTTGCCCATTCAGGACCTTGAGTTTCAGAAGCCAGTTTGCCTGCTCAGAGGCTACACTCTGTCATTTCTTCTAAGTGGATATTTCCAAGTTTTCTATTGGCTAATACCTTCCTCTCCCTCTTCCTTTTGTGTGGTCTTATTCCCGTGCCACTAACCTGTATCAACGGGGAAATTTAGTCCTTCCTCCACCCTCTGCCATCTTGCACTGACTCCTGTGCAGTTCCCAAAGGCATGAATTAAGGAATTCAAAGGTAGATTCAAATTCTGGATCTGAATGAGAAAGAACAGTGTAATTCTGTGAAGAAGAAGGGAAAAAAAGTATTTAGGTAATCAATATCCTTGAAAGAAATCTTTTAGTTAGAGGAGAGTTCATGCTAATGGGTATTTCTTAGTATTGTATTAGGGAAAGGAAGTATTTAGAACCTCAATCTAAGGAGGGAAATTAGAGAGGGTGGCAGAGGCCAGTAAAAACATTTAGAAGGGTTGGAAAATGGGATCCCTAAGAAAGATGAGGCTGTAGGGTATTTATTTGTGGCAAGAAATTAATTTGCAATTGCATAACCTCCGTTAAGAACGTGATAAATACTACGTGATGAGTGCTGGGTTGGCTAGTTCTCTCATTTTCTCTGTTCAATAAATATTAGGGAAGATCCAAAAAATATTAAAGAGAGCATATTCATTCTAGCACTTACTGAGGGTAGAGGAGGCGATGATGTAAAAAAAGCATATCGTGGCGATAAGGAAGAGCTCCTTGGGAGTTGCCAGACCGGTGTCTCCCAACGCCCTGTGTCCTCTTGTGTCCTCAGCAGGTCCTAGCCACTGTCAATCACACTTTTCATTGCTTACAACTGAGTCTTAACTAAGAAACAACAATCAACACACTGTCAGAGGAATAAATCATGAAACTGGTCCAACTCTGAGACCCATTAAGTCTACCTTGAAGAACCTACTATAAGAACAAATTTTAAAAGGTCACCTCTACACACTGGCTCACAGCAGCATTATCCAAATTGTAATAACCGGTTGCAGGGGTCAGCCGGGCCCAGGAGCCAGCCCCTCTCCTCCAGACCCCTCCCCCCTCCCATCCACTGGGGCGGGGCCCTGGCAGCCACACCTGTGTGGGACAGTCCCACCTCCCCGGTCTCAACTTGTAACCAGGAATAACTGCATCTGACAAAAGCTGGAGTATGGAAACTGTGAAGCCCCCTTTCCCTACAGGGAGAGGTAAGGAGGGTAAGAGAAAAAGAATGAAGGAGACTCACCAAAAGAAACACAGAAAATGAACGGGCTGACAGTTTTCTGGTTCTTTCTAGACTCTCACCTGCTTTTCTGCCCTTTGACTCCATGGAATACCCCTTTATCTTTAGAATTAATCACACTTTTGGGGGCTGGGGTTGTGGCTCAGCGGCAGAGCACTCGCCTAGCACGTGCGAGGCACTGGGTTGGATCCTCAGCACCACATAAAAATAAAACCAAATAAAAATGAAGGTATTGTGTCCAACTACAACTAAAAAAAAATAATAAAAAAAAAAAGAATCAATCACACTTTTCATTGCTTACAACTGAGTCTTAACTAAGAAACAACAATCAAAAATTGGGAAAAACTCAAATACCCCCAATAATAAAATGATTAGATAAATCATCACATGTCAGCATGATTTATTTATATGTTTATTTTTATTTATTCTTTTTTTTTTTTTGTACCAGGGTTTGAACCCAGGAGCACTCAACCACTGAGCTACATCCCCAGCACTCCTCCCTCTGCCTTTTTTAAAAAAAATTTTTAGATGTTGATGGAGCTTTATTTTATTCATTTATTTATATGCCATGCTCAGAATTGAACCCAGTGCCTCACACATGCTAAGCAAGCGCTCTACCCCTGAGTGGCAACTCCATAAATTGCTTAGAACCTAGCTAAGTTGCTGAGGCTGGCTTTGGCCTTGTGACTCTCCTGCTTCAGCCTCTGGAGACACTGGGATTACAGATTTATGCCACTGCTCCTGGCAATGATTGAATATTTTAAAGGCAAAGTTTCAAATTGTTTACATGGAAAAAATACAGAACATCAAGCTATTTGAACATATTGCTTGCAACTGTTAAATTGTAGATATAGTCAACAATGACTGGAGGAGTATACAGAATACATAGTTATAAGTTTATGAAGTTTTTGGAAACATTGTTTATACTTTTGGGGGACTTCCTTCATGCAAAACATCTTCTCTACCACTGAACTACATCCCCTGCTCCCCATCAGTATCTTTGAAATGAAATTTAGGCCCCTGGGGTTTTGAAGCAGGGATTTAATATGCCACTTTAAATCTTTTCCAGAATGTTCATTATTCTGATAATGATATTCCCTACCAGTCCTCCCACAAAATATAGACATTGTCCCTGAATCCTTCTTTCAATGTCCTTCCATTCTCCATGTGTAATCCAACAGCAAGTTCTTTGACTGCATTCTGAGAATCTATTTCAAATCAGCTCATCAGATCTTTGTCAATAACTAGGTCCAGATGCCACTTTCTCTCACCTGGACTGCTACATGTCTCTGAACCAGTTCCTCCGGTTTTCCTCAGCTTTCTTTTACTCCATTCTCTGTAGAACAACAAGAATGGTTTTAAAATAATGCCCAGAATTGTGACTTCTAAATAAAAGGAATCTGAGCTTCTTGGAGAATAAAGTGATTATGATTAGCCTGGAACATCTTGTCATATCAGATAACAGTGAAGGAGTTTATTATTACTGAGGTTATATCGAAAAGACTCAGGAGGCAACTTACAGAGACTCCTATTGGCCCAAGAAAGGGTCATTGAAGTGTTATTTAAAAATTGCATAAGATTGAAACCGATCAAAGTGTTTAAATCCATTCATTAATAATGGTGTCCTTTAAAATAAAAAGCTTTGAAAGGCATTATTCTTTGAAGGGTATTAATGCCAAAGAATCATATGTTTAAAAAACCTCATTAGTGATGGTAGCAAGGTTTCAGGATACAAGGTTAATGTACAAAGTTTGGTTAGCAATCAACTTGAACTTTAAACGCAGTGCCATCTATATTAGCACCAAGAAATGAAAACACGCAGACAAAAACCCTCGGGCATATATTTGACAGACATATTCAAGATCTATATGAAGAAAACTATAAAACTCTAATGAAAGAAATCAAAGATATAACTTAGGTCTGGTGGAAAGGGTCTGTAGTTCCATCTACTCAGGAGGTTGAGGTCAGAGGATCCCTTAAACTCACAAGTCAGAGACTAGCCTGGACATCAGAGCAAGATCCCTTCTCAAAAAAGAAGAAGGAGAAGAAAAGAAGAAATCAAAGATATTATTCGTAAGTGGAGAGTCCATATTCATAGATAGGAAGACTCACTGTCAAGCTGTCAATTTTTCCTAAATTGATCTATAGTTTCATCGTAATTCTAATCAAAATCCCACCTAGTTATTTTGTGGATATCAACAAACTGATCATAAAATTTACATATAAAGGATCCTAAGAAATCCACTCATTCCTTTGAAAATTGGTAAGTAAAGGGAGAGAGTAAAGCATAAATAAAAGTAAATCAAACATATCAATTTTCAGGTGAAAACTTTTCAATGGTTTCAAATTATACTTTGGAGTGAATACTGTGAATACTGTAGACTGAACCTAGGGACACAGTTCCTCTGAGCTACAGCCCCAGGTTTTAAAAAAATTTAAAATTTGTGTGATGGTCTGGTTAAATGGCCAAGCTGCCCTCAAATTTGCAATCTTCCTACCTCAGCGTCCCATGGCTGGGATTACAGGCATGTGCCAGAAACTCTGACTTAAATTACACCTTAAATAAAAGCCAGACCCCTTGCCAGGACCTGTAAGGCCATATTCCACCTGGCATCTTGCAACCACATTTATCTTATTTCATGCCATTTTAGCCTCCTGCTTATGATGCCCCAGCCATATAAGTTGTCCTGTTCCAAACTGGCCCTCTTCCTGCTTCAGATCTCTACTTAACTTTTCAAAGGGATCTTCTCTGACCATTCTAACAGGAAATCCTATTTGTTTCCTTCTGAAACTTGGCAAAATTGTATTTATTTTGCTTACTTGTTTTTGCTTGTTTCTCCTAGTACACTCTAAGTTCCAAGAGGAAAGACTGCTTTGTTTCTGCAGAGGATCTAGTACTCACAGGCACTCAGTAACTGTGGAAAAAGTTATCCATCAAGCAGAGACTAGAAGGTTGAATTGAAAAAGAGATGAAACTCAAACCAGCAAGGATGATTGTGAGACCTCTGAAAGGGCAGATGTACCAAGCTCTGTGTATATGATGGGGTCAGGAGACAACTCGAAAGGAAAAGAAATGTGATTTCCAGGAAGAAGGTCACTGTGGAATTGAAGACGTGATCACCTTAGGCTTTGGGAAATTTTCATGGAACATCTTGGTCCATTGTTGCTGCTATAACAAAATGCCATAAACTGGATGATTTATATATAACAGAAAGGGTTTTCTCATAGTTCTGGAGGACAAGGAGTCTAAGATCAAGACGTCAGATTCAGTGTCTCGTGAGGGCTCTCTGCTTCCAAGATGGTGCCTGTTACTTCTTCATCAGGAGGCATAAAAACTATATTCATAAAGCACTGAGTCCATCCAGAAAGATGCAGCCCTCATGGTCAAATCATCTCCTGAAGGTCTCACCCTTCAATCTCATTGCCTTGGTAATTAAATTTCAACAGGAATTTTGGAGGGACACAAACATCCAAACCACAGCATAGAAAGTCAAATTTTAAAAAAATCATAAATACCACTTAATAATGAAATTTGTAGAATTTCTGGACCGTAGACCTTTTTACTACCAGGAGGCAATGATTAAATCAGACAGTTTTCATAATGTGCTCAGCGATGGCATTGAGCCAAATAATCCTAACTTTTATTATTGTATCAGATATTGGATGTGTCTTGATGTGAACTTATGTTTATGTATAGAAGCTCACCTTGGTTATGTTTTATGCTTTGGCAGGTTTAACAAATGACCCAATGCACGTTGCCTCCTTCATCCTAGGACACTAGAATGGCCCATGATATTAAGTATTCCATTTTTCCCTTTTTCTTTCTTTCCTCATTCTCCTTTTCTTTTTAGATTTTCTGAGGGTGGCAGTTGTAGTTTCTGAAAATCAGGCTAACGGAAATTATTCACAAAGATGCCAGAAAGCTTAATGGATTCTGAAGAGCATATGACTTTTTTTTTCCCAGTCTGTATCTTAATTAATCAAACAGTATAAACATATTATAGAAAACTTGGAAAACCAAGAAAAGGCATAGGAAATTCAGACATAATGAATCTTCATCTCCCCAGTGTTATAAACCTATGCATTTTTCTTTTCATCTTTTCTCAGATGCTTTTGGTTTCCTGGTTGTAATTTCAGTGCACACACAAGTTTTTATTTTCAGTTTTTCTCTCATTCTACAACAGACAGCAGATAAGAAACAGCAGGTAAAATAATTTATGATAGACACAAATAATGGGAAGTCTATAAAACAGGGTAATGTAGAGTGAATATCAGGGAAGGTCTCATAGGGGGCTCATCTGAGATGTGAAGCAGCAGCCCTGGTGACGCTCTGGGCTAGAGCATTTGTCACACATCAGACAACAAGTACAAGGACCCAGGATGGAAATGAGCTTTGTTTGAGAAACAGAGAAGTAGCCAACCAGGGCGGGGTAGGGGAGGGAAAGAGAGTGGGAATCACCTCTTGATCTCAAGGCAACGTGAAGCTATTGTCTGACTTAGATTTTTAAGAGTACCCTGGTCACCAAAAACATAGGACAGAAATTATTTCTGCATGTAATAGACATACATTCTAAGGAGTTAATCGCCACTGAAATCTATTTAAGTATTCTTTACCATGTGTTCGAAATGCTCTTGTAAACAAGAAGTGTGTGGGGCTTTTAGTAGGACCATCTCCAAAAATTCTGGGAAAGAACTCTGGGTTAGACATAGAAAATGTATCCTTCCTTTGACCATTTAACATCCACAGGGTGATATTACAGTGACCCAAGTCCAACCTGGGCCACCTACTCACCTGTTGGTAGGGATGATTGTGGGCTATCATGACCTAAAGTCCCATCATCAGGGTCACACAAAATTGGGAAAAAAATCTTCAAAGGGAAG